TTTGAGACAGAGTCTCGCTCTGTCGCCCAGGCTGGAGTGCAGTGGCACAATCTCGGCTCACTGCAAGCTCCGCCTCCCGGGTTCATGCCATTCTCCTGCCTCAGCCTCCCAAGTAGCTGGGACTACTGGCGCACGCCGCCACGCCCAGCTAATTTTTTGTATTTTTAGTAGAGACAGGGTTTCACCATGTTAGCCAGGATGGTCTCGAACTCCTGACCTCGTGATCCGCCCACCTCAGCCTCCCAAAATGCTGGATTACAGACGTGAGCTACCGCGCCCAGCCTTGTTTTGTTTTGAGACAGGGCCTGGCTCTGTCACCCAGGCTGGAGTGCAGTGGCACAAATTCAGCTCACTGTAACCTCTGCCTCAGGAGTTCAAGTCATCTTCCCACCTCAGCCTTCCGAGTAGCTGGGACTACAGGCGCACGCCACCATGTATTCTTTTTTTTTTTGTAACGACGAAATCTTGCTATGTTGCCCAGGCTGGTCTCGAACTCCTGGACTCAAGTGATCCGCCCACTTCAGCCTCCCAAAATGCTGGGATTACAGGTGTGATCCACCATACCTGACCCTAATCCATATTTCAATATCCATCTGCCTCCTCTATAGATTGCAGGCTCCATGAGGAGGGTGCACCTGTCATTCACAGTTGCATCCTCATTGCCTAGGGCAGTGCCTGATACATCATCAGTATACTGCATATATACATCAGTGTATATATGTACAACAGTGATGTATACTGATATATACATCAGTAAATATCAACGGAATGAGTTAAAACAGGAAAGCTTATTAGCACAGAAACCAAAGCAGAAGCAGCAGCACACATGCCCTCTTGAGATTGACAAAATTGTGCTGTAGTCCTAGGCTGCTGGTTGTTAAGTGACTTTAGGGAAGTCACTGTGGCCATCTGCAGATTGAGGAAATTGACGTAATTATCTCTGAGGTCCCTCCCAAATTCTCATGTGTAGTTGACATCTATTATCTATTGCTTATATGTCACTGAATTGGCAGGTATGCATAAATAGAATTTGCCCCTAACTACGAATGTGATTGTGTATATTTTCTTTAAAAAAAATTGGGCTTTTGTTTCTCATATTGAGAACTCTGTTATGCCATTGTTGAATTTCTCGAAGATTTCCCCCCACCCACCTTCAAACTCTACTTCCTTAGACAGATTTGGCAATAGCTTTGTAAGTGATATGGACATAATTGCCTACAATAATGAAAACCTACAGGATTCTTTTTTCATTTTCCCTTTGGCATGTTTACTATTCCCTGCCCCACCAGGCAGGGAATTCTGAGTGTGTGAGTGTGTGCACCCCTTACAAAGACGACTACTATGTTACTAACATATTTGATTTGGAAAAAACAACTGTAGGCTGGGCGCGGTGGCTGACGTCGGTAATCCCAGCACTTTGGGAGGCCGAGGTGGGCGGATCACGAGGTCAGGAGTTCAAGACCAACCTGGCCAACATGAAACCCCATCTCTACTAAAAATGCAAAAATTAGCCAGGCGTGGTGGCACGCTCCTGTAATCCCAGCTACTTGGGAGGCTGAGACAGGAGATTCGCTTGAACCCAGGAGGCAGAGGGTGTAGTGAGCTGAGATTGTGCCATTGCACTCCAGTTCTGGGTGACAGAGCAAGACTCCGTCTCAGGGAAAAAAAAAAGAAAAAGAAAAAACAATTGTTTTTGAAAAATGATTTGTAATGTCTTTCACAGAGACTAAATGAACAGTATGTTTTGATACTTTTTAAAAAATAATTGTCTTTTTAGATTCCGATTCATGTGCACATGAATGTACCCATGTACATGGTTATATCTCATGATGCTGAAGTTTGGGGTACAATTGATCCCATCACCCAGGGTACAGTACCCAATAGGTAGTTTTTCAACCCTTCTCGCCTCTAGTAATCCCCCGTGTCTACTGTTCCCATCTTTATGTTCGTGAGTACCCAATGTTTAGCTCCTACTTATAAGTGAGAACATGCAGTATTTGGTTTTCTGTTCCTGCATTAATCCACTTAGGATAAAAGCCTCTAGCTGCATCCATGTTGCTGCAAAGGACATGATTTCTTCTTTTTTTTCTTTTCTTTTGCCTCGCCTCCCCTCCCGTCCCCTCCCGTCCACTCCCTCCCCCTCCCTTCCCTCCCTCCGCCCCTTTTCTTTCTTTACTTTTTTCTTCCTTCTTTCCCTTTCTTCCCTTCCCTCCCTCCCGTCTTGCTTCCTTCCTTCCCTTCCCTCTCGTCTTTTTCTTTCTCTCTTTCTTTTCTTTCTTTCTTTCTCTTCCTTCCTTCCTTTCTTTTCTTTCCCTCCCTCTCTCTCTTTCTTTCTTTCTTTCTTTTCTGCATCCATATTGCTGCAAAGGACATGATTTCTTCTTTTTACTCTTTCTTTTCTTTTTTGCTTTCCTTCCCTTCCTTCCTTCCTTTTCTTTTCTTTCTTTTACTTTCTTTTCTCCTTTCATCTTTCTTTCTTCTTTTTTTTCTTGAGTCAAAGTCTTGCTCTGTTGCCCAGGCTGGAGTGCAGTGAGTGGTGTGATTTTGGCTCACTACGCCTCCCGTGTTCAAGCAATTCTCCTGCCTCAGCCTCCCCCAGTAGCTGAGATTACAGGCCCGTGCCACCACACCCGGCTAATGTTTGTATTTTTAGTAGAGACGGGGTTTCACCATATTGGCCAGGCTCGTCTCAAACTCCTGACCTCAAGTGATCTGCCCACCTTGGCCTCTCACAGTGTTAGGATTACAGGTGTGAGCCTCATCTCGTTCTTTCTTATGGCTGCGTGTTTTTATACTTTCAAATTACAAGGACTCAGTGAAGGCTATTCATTGCCTTGAACTTCCCAAAGCAGTTCCACAATCAATCGGGTTCTCAGTAAGAATCCGAGACTTGCAGGGAAAATGCTGTCAGTACCCCCATTTAACAGATGTGGAGGGCCGGGCGCGGTGGCTCAAGCCTGTAATCCCAGCACTTTGGGAGGCCGAGACGGGCGGATCACGAGGTCAGGAGATCGAGACCATCCTGGCTAACACGGTGAAACCCCGTCTCTATTAAAAAATAGAAAAAAAAAAACTAGCCGGGCGAGGTGGCGGCGCCTGTAGTCCCAGCTACTCGGGAGGCTGAGGCGGGAGAATGGCGTGAACCCGGGAGGCGGAGCTTGCAGTGAGCCGAGATTGTGCCACTGCACTCCAGCCGGGGCGACAGAGCGAGACTCCGTCTCAAAAAAAAAAAAAAAAAAAAAACAGATGTGGAAGCTGAGGCCTAGACCTACATTCTTGTCCCTTTACAGACAAAGTCCCTGGAGGAGGGGGTTCATCTAGAGGCTCGTACAGATATACTGGAATGTAAAGTTTTGGCTGCTTGGGTTCATACCTAAACTCTGCAGCCTCAGGTCTCTTTCCACCACTAGAAGATGGGGAGAAGGCTGGGTGCTGTAGGTCACGCTTGTAATCTCAGCATTTTGGGAGGCTGAGGCGGGCACATCACCTGAGGTCAGGAGTTTGAGAGCAGCCTGGCCGACATGGTGAAACCTCGTCTCTACTAAAAATACAAAAAAAAAAAAAAAATAGCCGGGCAGGGTGGCGGGCACTGTAATCCCAGCTACTCCAGAGGCTGAGGCAAGAGAATTGCCTGAACCCAGGAGGCAGAGGTTGCAGTGAGCCTAGATCATGCCACTGCACTTCAGCCTGGGCCATAGAGTGAGACCCTGTCTCCAAAAAAAAAAAAAAAACCAGAGTTGGGCGCCAGTGACTCACGCCTGTCAATCCCTAGCCATTTGGGAAGCGAGGCTGGACCGATCACCCTGAGGGTCCAGGAGTTCGGATCAGCCCTGGACAATACGGTGAAACCCCGTCTCTATAAACATACCAAAATTAGCCAGGCGTGGGGCACATGGCCTGTAATCCCAGCTATTTCGGGAGCCTGAGGCAGGAGAATCGCTTGAATCTGGGGTGTCGAGGATGCGCGAGCCGAGATCGTGTCATTGCACCCAGCCTGGGCAACAAGAGTAAAATCTCCCGTTCACCAAAAAAAAAAAAAAAAAAAAAAGAAAGAAAGAAAGAAAGAAAATGGAGAGAATGTTAGCACTTAATTTCCCAGCATTGTGAGACTTAACATATGTCAGCTTGGCCAGCATAGGGAGACCCCCACCTCTACCAAAAATTTAAAAATTAGCCGGGCATGGTGGCTGGGGCATGCCTGTGGTCCCAGGTACTAGGGAAGCTGAGGCAGGAAGATCACTTGAGCCCAGGAGATGGAGGTGGCAGTGACCTACCATCACGTCACTGTCCTCCAATTAAAAAATAAGTGTGGGGCCAGGCGCGGTGGCTCACGCCTGTAATCCCAGCACTTTTGGAGGCCGAGACAGACGGATCACGACGTCAGGAGATGGAGACCATCCTGGCTAACACGGTGAAACCCCGTCTCTACTAAAAATACAAAAAATTAGCCGGGTGTGGTGGCACACGCCTGTAGTCCCAGCTACTTGGGAGGCTGAGGCAGAAGAATCGCTTGAACCCGGAAGGCGGAGGTTGTAGTGAGTAGAGATCGCACTCCAGCCTGGGAGACTCCGTCTCAAAAAAAAAGTGTGGAACTCAATAAATATGAGTTGTTATTACAGTGGCAAGCCCTGAAAGGGGGTCTACAAAAGCCCAGTGGGCGAGGCTGAGGAAATGCCTGGGCACGACCCTTCTCATGGCATTCCCGGGGCGCCCGCATCAGCCCGTACCCACTCACGCTCAGGGACTTTCTCGGAATCGCGCTGCTTCTTCCAGCCGCCTCAAGGCGGGCCCCGTCCAGGTCTCTTTAGCCCCGCCCCCTGATGAGGGGGCGTGGCCTCCTCAGGGCCGGGGCGTGGCCCAACCGGGAAATGGGGCGTCGAACTCCCCTTCCCAGTCTGGAGCCACCCAATCAAGGCGGGGCGGGAGACCGATCACGTGACCCGCAAGCGGTCTCACCCTCCTCATGTGCCAGTACCACCTCCTCCAGTCCCAGAGGGGGGATGTCTTACTCCTTTCCGGGAAGCAAACCCTTTGAGTACGGTTTGCGTCCACATAGCGTGAGGGTGAGATCCTTGGGAGCCACTGGGACCGTCTTTGCCCCCTCGGTGGGGTTTTGTCTCCTGGCTTCCCCCAAGTGCAAGGCGTTGGTCTCGCCCAGCCGGGTCTTGGGCGCGGCGGCGGCAGCCGCGTCACTGGCGGGCGGGATCCCTCCGCTCTGGGGAGGCAGCGCTGGCGGCGGGGTTGGGGCCACTGAGGAAATCCATCCGCGCCGCCGCCGCCGCCGCCTCCGCCGCGGAGGAAGACAGCGCCGCCCGCGCGCCGCCAGCGACCCCCGCCGCAGAGTCCCACCGCCACAGGTACCTCCGCTGGCAAAAGGAGTCCTCGCGCCCCCCAGCCCCAATTTCCCGCAGGGGAACCTCTCTTCCTTCGGTCTCCCCGGGCTGGCCTCCGGGGAGCGGACGTAACTCCCCAGACCTCCCCTCCCTTCCTATCTGGCCCCGTCGCTCCCAAACCCGGAAGGGGAACTGGGGGGGACCCTCGCCCCCCACGGTGCGTGCACTTCCCCGCACCATCAGCGAAGTTTTTGCCCGACCCCAGACCCCAGCCCAGCCCCGACTGCCTCTTGCTCCCTTGGAAGTTGGGGGGCTAAATTCGGGGCTTCCTCTAGGCCCCGCCCCGCCCCTCTTCCCCACCGCCACCCTCCCGCCTGCCCCTGGGGAGCACCCCTCGTGTCCTCCACTGTCGCACCCCTGCTGGCCCTCGCCTTGCACAACCCCAAAATCGGGGAGAAGCAGGCAAGGCCGCGCGCCACCCTTCCTTTAGTCTCCACCCTACCCCCGATTTGGGTTCTGCTCGTGGTTTCTGGCCCCACTCCCCGAAACCGGAGCCCTCGGCGCCCTATTCCCTTTACAGATCCCCACCCGAAACCCAGCTCCCAGGCACCCGCCCCCCGCCCAGCTTTCTTTTGGGCAAAATGGAGGTTGTGGGGGCTGGAGGGCCAGGCCCACTGCGCTTCGCAGCGCCGCACCAGCCCGCGCCTTCCAGCTGCGAGATCCAGGGACCCTCCCGTCACCTCTCCTGGGCCCCGCCAGACCTGCGGAGGCGGTGGCACCCCCATTTCTCTATGGGACCCTGGCTGCTATATCCCTAGAATCTGGGGGCTGCTGAGGGCCCTGCGGGGTGATGGGGACCGAGAGCTGAGAGCGTCGCCCCCGCCCCCAGTTTCTTCCTCCAGCCCTGCTTCCTTCTGCCCTGGGCCTCCGGCGGTGCCGCCAGGCCTGGGCTGCTGCTAGTAGCTGGAAGAGGCTTTGTGCGGGCCTGGGGGTTGGGTGGAGTAAGGAGTTCTGCCTGCGCCCCCCACACCCCGATTTTGAGGGTCACCCCCTGGCACTGGCGTAGAAAGCTGAACTTAAAAGGAGGGGAAATGTCAGTGGGGAATAGGAACGCCCTGTGCCTGGGGGAAGTGGGAGCTGGGTGGGGGACGCCTGGGTCGGCCGAGTGCAGTGTGTACGGCCGGATCGCACAGGTGTCCCGCGGGTGGGGAAGGACTCAGGCGCCCGGAGCGGAGCCAGCCAAGCCTCTGGGGCCCGGGCGCGAGCCCGCTGGCTGGGCCCCCCAGGTGTCCAGGGCGCCGGGGCCAGGCCGCCTGGGGCCTCCCGCCCGCGCCTGGGAGAGAGCAGCTCCGCGCCTCGGGGCCGGGGACCTCGTTGCGGAGCCGTAATTACTCGAGAGCGGCTCCCACGGGCTTTCTGCGGGCGCGGCGGGGCGGGCGGTCTCTGCGCTGGAGGGAGCAGCGGGCTCGGGGCTGCCTTCCCCGCCGTTGTCACCCCCACCCGCGGCGGACAGCTAATGGGGCGCAGCCGGACCAGGGATTATCCGGGGTGAGCTGTCCAGAACCTATTAGCTCCCAATCGGCTTTTCCCAAATCCTGTAAACAGCCACCCGGGCCGGTTCTGGGGAGGGGCGGGAGCCTGGGTCGGGCGGGGGCGATGGGGCCGGGGGTGGGGTCACCCACCCTACAGGTCTTAGCCGCGGATGCGGTTGCCTTGGCAACGGGGCTAGGGTGGGGGCATTTCACCAATGAGGTGCTCTCGGTCCGGGTGACGGTTGCCTAGGCAACCCCACGAACAGCCTAGCTTCCCCCTCTGGTCGCTCCCCCCCACCCGCCACCGTCGAAGCTGGGGGTGTGTGTGGAGGGTGTGCGCCTTGTGGGGTGAATTTCAAGAGGCACCTCCCCTTTTAAAATTAGGTGCTTGGAGGGCGGTGCCGGTGCGGGCTGGGGCAGACGCCAGGTCTGTTTTCGAAGGGACACCCCCCCCCCCCAGTTCCTGCCGCGGTTGTCCCGCCCGGGCTGTGTCCGAGGGAGGGGTTTCCCCTGCGCTTCCTCTTGCACTTCCCGCTCCGTTTCCGGGGGGCGGGAGGAAGATTGGGGAAGTCGGCTCTTACTCGGCGACGTCTCCGTTGCCGGAGACCCTGGTTGTGCCGCCGCCCCTCCCCCCTCCCCTTGCTTACCCCTTCCGGGCCGTGCTGCAACCCCGCCTTTCCCCCCACTTCCCCGGCGGCCTCGGGCCTGACGTCAGCCCTGCATCCCCCAGGCCTCGGGCCAGCGGCCAGGAGCTGCCTCCCCCAGCCCCCGTCCCGCGGCCCCCAGCCGCCCCCAACCCCGCCCCACGGGCCCGGCGCCATGAGTGAGCTGGAGCAACTGAGACAGGAGGCCGAGCAGCTCCGGAACCAGATCCGGGTAAGGGCCTGGTGCGGTATGGGCCTGATGCGGTATGGGCCGGGAGGTGTGTACACCTCCCAGTGCCCTGGACCGGGCTGGGTGAGGGTGTTGGTGGGGGAAGGGGGAGGGAGGGCTCCTTAGTGGCTCAGAATCTGATTTTGTCCACTCCTGTCTTCTCGCCCTCTTCTACCCATCCTACCGTCTCTTGCATCTCTTTGGCTCTGCCATTCCCTATAGGATGCCCGAAAAGCATGTGGGGACTCAACACTGACCCAGGTGAGGGCACTCGGTGGTCAGGAGGTGACTGGGGTTGGAGGGCAAGGATCGGAGGCCGCTGCTCACTGCAGTCCTGCTACCTGGGCCTCCCTGAGCCCATTCTGTCTCTACCTCCAGATCACAGCTGGGCTGGACCCAGTGGGGAGAATCCAGATGAGGACCCGGAGGACCCTCCGTGGGCACCTGGCAAAGATCTATGCCATGCACTGGGGGACCGACTCAAGGTGTGTGTGTGTGTGGGCTGGCGCTGTGGGCCGACTTTCTAGCAGGCTGTGGGAGCAGCCTCTGATCTGGTGGGGTGAGTAGGCTACCAGAATACCCAGAGTATGTCTGGAAATAAGGTGACTCCCAGACATGCCCGCCAGACCTGGACAGGCAGGACCATGCTGGTGAGAACTTGTGGGCTGCAGCTGGAGACTGTCTCTCAGGTGGCTCATACCTGTAATCCCAGCATGTGGGGAGGCCAGGGCAGGATCACTTGAGCTCAGGAGTTTTGAGACCAGCCTGGGCAACATAGTGAGACCCTGTCTCTAGTAAAAATTGAAAAATGACCCGGGTGTGGTGGTGCTCGCCTTGTAGTCCCAGCTATGTGGGGGAGGCTGAGATGGGAGGATCACTTGAGCCTAGGAATTCCAGGCTGCAGTGAGCTGTGATGGTGCCACTGCACTCCAGCCTGGACAACAGAGACCCTACCTTCTCCTACGCAATGGGAAGGGGGTGTGTCTTCCTTTCATGGCATCCTTCTGCTCTCCCTGCACCATTCCCCACCAGGCTGCTGGTCAGCGCCTCCCAGGATGGGAAGCTCATCATCTGGGACAGCTACACCACCAACAAGGTAGGGTGGTGCGAGCTGGGGGGTGGGGCTGGGGGGTGGGGCAGGGTCACAGAGCCCTGACTGACTCTGACCCTGGCGCTGCCTCTGCTCCACAGGTTCACGCCATCCCGCTGCGCTCCTCCTGGGTCATGACCTGTGCCTATGCGCCCTCAGGGAACTTTGTGGCCTGTGGGGGGCTGGACAACATCTGCTCCATCTACAGCCTCAAGACCCGCGAGGGCAACGTCAGGGTCAGCCGGGAGCTGCCTGGCCACACTGGTGAGGGGCCTGGCCCGGCTAGCACCCTTTTTGGGGTCGGGAGGTGCACTGCCCTCCGTGTGGAGACCTGGCTGACCAGCTCCTTCCCCAGGGTACCTGTCGTGCTGCCGCTTCCTGGATGACAACCAAATCATCACCAGCTCTGGGGATACCACCTGGTGAGGCTCTGCCAGGGCTGAACAGTCTGGGCGAACTCACACTTCCTGCCTCAGGGGCCACTGTCCCAGTGCTCAGCACGCAGCGTGCACTGTAGTCTCTCTCTCCTGGTGGGCACTAAGGGGGTCAGGGAGGGATGCATCCCCTCCCCACCTAAGGCTCTGACAAGAACCTCCCTGAACCCTTTCACAGGGTTGGGCTCACGTGGTGGGGCGGGGAGGGCAGGGACTCTGTTCTTTGCCCCGTCTCTTATCTTTTCCTTCTTCCTGTCACCTCTCCAGTGCCCTGTGGGACATTGAGACAGGCCAGCAGACAGTGGGTTTTGCTGGACACAGTGGGGATGTGATGTCCCTGTCCCTGGCTCCCGATGGCCGCACGTTTGTGTCAGGCGCCTGTGATGCCTCTATCAAGCTGTGGGACGTACGGGATTCCATGTGCCGACAGACCTTCATCGGCCACGAATCCGACATCAACGCGGTGGCTGTGAGTTCTGGGGCGAGTTGGGCCAGGCCCGCTCCACCAGGCTCCTGGCCCTGCCCCTTGCCCTCACCCCATCCTGGTCCCGTGTCCTGCAGTTCTTCCCCAACGGCTATGCCTTCACCACCGGCTCTGATGACGCCACGTGCCGCCTCTTCGACCTGCGGGCCGATCAGGAGCTCCTCATGTACTCCCATGACAACATCATCTGTGGCATCACCTCTGTTGCCTTCTCGCGCAGCGGCCGGCTGCTGCTCGCTGGCTACGACGACTTCAACTGCAACATCTGGGATGCCATGAAGGGCGACCGTGCAGGTGAGAGCTGGGGGCCCAGGCTGGGCGGGTGGGGACCTGGAGCCTAGGCCAAATGGGTTCTGACTTCTCCCTTCCTCACAGGGGTCCTCGCTGGCCACGACAACCGTGTGAGCTGCCTTGGGGTCACCGACGATGGCATGGCTGTGGCCACTGGCTCCTGGGACTCCTTCCTCAAGATCTGGAACTAACGGCCCCACCCCTGCTGGGCCCAGGCCGGGAGGGGCCCTGCCCACGCCCACACTACAGGCCAGGGCTGAGGGGCTGGGCGTACTCCCAGCCCCCTTCCCTGGGCCACGGGGCCTTGGGTCCCTGCCCTCCCACCCAGGTTTGGTTCCTCCCGGGGCCCCCACTGTGGAGATAAAAAGGGGATGGAATGGGGGAAAAGGAGGGGCAGGAGGCCCTCATCCTTCTGCTGCCCTGGGGTTGGGGCCTCACCCCTCTGGAGGGCCAGAGGCAGGAGGTGGAAACCCCAGGGGCTGGCTTTTTTAAAACTGGTTTTATTTTAATTTTTATTATATTTTCAGTTTTTCCATAAAGGAGCCAATTCCAACTCTGTACCTGGTCTCTGCCCTTGCTGTGTCCTTGTTTCTGAACTTTGCTGCCTGAGGGCTGCTGGGGGTGTGGGTGGTGGGGAGGGTATGGGGCCCACCAGGCAGCTGGGGCTGGGGACAGGGTCTGCACTCTCCCTCAGAGCAAAGCCGAAACCCCAGCCCAAAGCCTTCCATCCAGAGGTTGTTGGATAAGCAGCCCCCCGCCGTGGTCTCCCCCATCAGGCTGCTGACCAGAGCCAGCCTGACCAGGCGGACCCTGCTCGGAGCTCCTAGTTCCCAACTCTGCGCAGAGCCACTCATCCCCATGGCTCTCCCCAGATAACGAGCAGCGGAGGCGGAACGGGAGAACACACACCAAGTTTTATTGGGAGAAGGGAGTATTTACAGGAGCAGGTAAAGAGGGAAGTCACACAGGGTGGAGAGGGGGCGGGGAGATTGTGGGTACAAGGCAGACAGGGAACACAGCGACCCCTGCACCCACCCCAACCCCAGGAAGGGCAGGGGAGCAGCGAGGGCCCAGGAAGACCGGGGCCGGGGGAAGGACAGCAACAGGGTCTGAGTCCCTGGGCAGGGGGGCTCAGGGGCTTGTAAACATTGACCACTCTCAGAAAGGGATGGGGGTGGGAGAGGGCTCCCCCTATACTTCCTCACAGGGTTAAGGCCTCTCCAGGCTCATGGGCCCCCTAAATCCAAAGTCTCTTTAGCTGGGGAGAAGGGGCAGGAAGAGACAGGAAGTGTCCCCCTTCCCCTGCATTGGCTGCGGCAGGGGTGGGGGGGTTACATTCAGTCACAACAGGAGTCTCCCCCACACTTGGGAAGGGGAGCTGGGGGCCAGCAGCAGCAAACACTCCCCCCGGCCCGTCACCCCTTATTGCTTTAGAGAGAATATTGTCTTTTCAGGGACGCTAACACTGTGGGAACCAGGGAGAAGCAGGTGGGGGCCCCCCACCCCGAGGCCAGCTTGATCCCCCAACACTGACCTAGTTGCCACTTTGGTGCAAAAAAACAACAACAACAAAAAAAAAACCCTAACAACAAAAAACCAAACACCATCTTTCTGGGGCTAGATGGGGAAAGAAAGGGGCCACTCCCCACATCCCCAGGGCAGGAGGGAGAAATACATTCATGGAGGGAGGCAGTGGCGGAGCCTTGCCCTAATACTGCACTCTGAGCAATGAGGTCAATGGGAGGAGCTGGATGAGAAACCCAAAAGACAAAACTTACAAAACCCAAAATGGGTGGAGAGGAACCCAAGCAGGGGACTGGGAATAAGAAGTGGGTGAGCAATAGAAGGGGCAGCTTCCCTTGACCCAGGAGCCGCACGCTTCTCTTCACCCCAACCTTACCCAACGGTAAAAAGCGCATCATATCAGACCCGGGAGACCTCCTGCTCCTCTCCCATTTGGTCGGCGGAGGGGTCAGGTGCAGAGCTGGGTGGTCCATACCTCACAAGCTGGCTGCAGGCTGGGGCCCCAGGTGGCAGCCCCTCCACTGCAACCCTAAGCCCAAAGCCACCCACTCCTTGCCTTTGAGGCCCCTCCTCCTGCCCCCTTCACGGGAGAAACAGCTCAGCCTTCTCTCTGCAGCCTCCGGAGCAATCATCCACCCCCGCCGCTCACAGAGGTGAGGCAGGAGCCAGGCAGGGGTGAGGTGGGGGCTTGCGGCCCAAAGAATACATTCACGTGGCAAGGCAGAGAGCTGGGGCTTTCAGGTTCAAACGCAGGGTGTCCCCCAAAATGGCAGCGGTGGGGGACGCCCCTCACCAGGGCCAGAGTCAGAGTCCTGCTGCCCCACCCTGCCAGCCAGAGAGGTTGGCACAGCCTGGCCCCTCCCATCTACTCGGCCAGCACAGGATGGCAGCCAGAGAGCTGGGGCAGCTCTTCCAATTTGTGCAACTGTCCCCCAAAGCAGCGAAGCCAAGGGGCTACTTTGGCCCCACCCCGGACACCTCAGCCAACCCTGGCGAAAGGAGCTGCTCACAGCGGGTCCAGTGGGCGGGGCTCAGACAGGCCTCCTGTGCAAACTGCTGGCCCTCAGCCTCCAGTTACCCCATGGCCCACCTTCCGGGGGGGTAAGTGTGGCCTTGGGGGCCAGGCAGGACAGGTCCACGGGGCCTGTGTCCCCACTGCCCCAAAATAACAGTGTGTTTTTTCTTTCAGCCTCCTAACCATTTTTTTTTCATTTTTCATCTTTTTTCTTAAAAAAACAAAAAACAAAAATCCTCTGTGGACCTTCCATCGTCACACCCACTATCCTCACAGCGGGAAGGGGTGTTTAGAGTCTAGTTTTTAACAATATTTTTGCCTCTCCTAACTTTTCTTCAAAGTCGTTTAAAATTAAAAAAAAATAATAAAAAGAAAACCCCCTCCCCCAGTCTGTAAAGTGCCTCGTGGTGGGTGAGTTAAGGTGCATCGTGTGTTTGTAACAAGTGCTGGGGACCCCGCCCCTGCCGCCGCCTCTGCTCCCTGCGGGGAGCCTGCAGGCTGGGACCCTCGGTCCATGCCGCCGCAGCCGCCCTGGCCTACAGCCCAGGGGCTGGGGGTCCGGGCTGGTCAGTAGTCATCCACGCTCTCGATCTCACCAGAAGATCCGTGCAGGGAGTACCCTGAAGCCGGGGAGAAGCTGGGTCTGAGCTCTCTCCTGGGCTCCTCCTGCCCTGTGCCAAGGAAGTCCCGCTCCTGCCCCAGCCCAGCTCACCCAGGATGCTGGGGTCTGAGTGCAGCATCAGTGCCCGCCTCTTGGCCTTGCTGCCCTCCCCGGGGCCGAGTTTGGTGCTGTGGTTGGCCTGGAAGGCCGTCTGCAGGGAGGCGCTGCTCAGCCACGCCTCCTAAGGCAACAGAGAGGAGGGTGAAGGTCAAGAAGTGCCAGGCAAGCCCACCCCAGCTACTGGTGCCGGGTGCCTCACCTGCTGCTGCTGCCGCTGTTGGCTGGCTTTCTGCTTGGCCCTCCGCTCCAGGAATTGTTTGGCAAATTCTTTGGCTTCCAGCGTGTCCCCCAAGCAGGAACGGATATAATCGTGGACATCATAGGGGGATTCCACCTCCTTGAGGATCGCTACAGCCATGGGCACTGCAGGATGAGCGAGGGCTGTCAGGGCCCCCTGGCCAGGTCTGGAGCCCCAGGCCCCACCCACTTCCTGGGAGCCGCTCACGCACCATCCAGGCTGCCTGTGGCGCTCAGTGTGTGCAGCATCTGCTCACACCACTGGGTGAAGCCATCCTGGGGCCTGGGGATGCCCTGCAGCAGCTTCAGCAGCTTCTCTTCTTCCTCTGTCTTTTTGCGAATGGGCCGACCTGATAGGTGACTGTACGAGTCACTGAAGGGGGTGGGTGAGTCAGGGTCGGAAATCAGCTGGCGGGGGGGCGGGAGAGTCTGCCACCTTCCCTCCCAGGGCCACCCCAAGCCTCCAGGTGCCACGCCCACCTGAGAGATGGGCTGCTCCGGCTGTTCTTCAGGCCGAGGCCGCGGACCAGGCTCCCGCCGCTCTTGGGGGTGTCCTCCCAGAGCCCCAGGCTGCTGCTGCCGCCCCCACTCTTGTCTGGCCCGCCCCACAGCGGCCCAGCCTCAGACACCCACTGGTTCAGGGGGGCAGTGCCCAGGCCCCCAAGCTGCTACAGATGGCAGAAGATCAGAGTGGCTCAAAGAAAGGCACCCCAGAAAAGCAGACAGGGAGGCTTGTTTAGGTGGCAAAGGGAGAGGTGAGGCGAGGGCCACAAGAGCTGTTGCCATCACAGGAGGGGCTGGGGTTTGGGCTGCACAAGTCTGGGCTTAGTGATCCCCCTCCCTATGCCACCCTGGAAACTGCATGGGGGGGTCCTGGGAGGTTCCTGGCCTGCTCACCACTCGGTGGTTGGGGGCCTGGGCCCGAGCTGGCTCCCGAGGTGGGGGCTGTTTGTGCAGCTGCCGCTCGCCCTCCAGCTGCAACTCCAGGAGTGTCTTCATGGACAGCCCCTGCTTGGCCAGGCCAGCCCAGAGTGGGGGCGGGGAGCTGGGCGCGGGGGGCACGGGGACTGCCTGCTGCTGCTGCTGTAGCAACTTCAGCAACAGCTCCTGCTGCCGTACCTAAGAGGGGGACACAGTGAGGGGACCTGACGAGGGCTCTCTCCCCAGCCAGCTGAGGCGCGGGAGCACCCACCTGCTTGCGCCGAAACAGCTCTTCCTCCTCTTGCCGCCGCTTCTGCTCCTCCTGCTGCTGCTGGCGGCGCTTCTCCTCCCGGCGCTTGCGTTCCTCTTCCTCCCGCTTCGCCCTGAGCTCCACTTCTCTGCGCTCCTGGAACTGAGACCAGTGGCTGGTCAGGGGAGAGCTGCAGGGGACAGCTTGGAGCCTGCCTCGGTCCACCCTTTCATTCCCAGGGCCTCAGCCCCAGGATGCCTACTCACTTTATGTTGCAGCTGGAGTTGTTCTAGAATTGGACCCTGAGTCGAAGAGTTAATTGGTATGTCCCAAAGACTGGCCTCACCACCTGCAGGGGGCAGGGGGCAGAGGCAGCTGCAGGTAGGCACTTGGGCCCACTGATCCAGTCCAGCCGCAGCAGTGGGCTCCCCAGCCAGAATGACAACTAGGGGTGCAAGGGTGGGGAGCAGACCCCGGACCCCAGTTCACCCGGAGACTGCCTTGGGGGTGGGGGCCAGGCAGGCCACACACCTGACTGTGATGAGGCTGAGGTATGTACGTCCCAGAGGCGGCCCGAATCCGGCACCGACAAGGACCGGCTCATCGTCGGGAGCAGGTTCTGGTCCCCGCCTCTGAGGAGCAAATCGTGGATTCTCAGGACCCCAAATCCATCTCTGGTCTGTCCCCGTTCCCTACCCTGTATCCTGAGGGCTAGCATGCGCCACGAACCTGGGGGGTTTGAGCGCCTGGAGCTGCTGCAGGAATGCCGTGAGCTGCTGCTGCTGCTGCGGCGGCGGCGGTGTCAGGTCCCCCAGAGCTGCCTTTTCTCGAAGCGCGCATTGTGGGAGCTGGCGGCTGCAAATGGGACAGTGGAGGTGGTGGGCCACAGAGCCAGCTCCGGGCCTTCTCCCAACCCACCCCAGGCCCCCCCATACCTGCTGACCAGCTGAAGAAACTGCTGGTGCTGCAGCTGCTGGTACAACGCAGCCGCGGCCAGCTCCTGCTGCTTCTTCAGCCGCTCCTGGTCCATGTTTCCCTGCTCGGGTGAGAGTTCGGCCAGTGCCCACAGCAGCGAAGAGGGGACTCTGCTGGACTCCTGCCCGCACCCCTTACACCCTGTCCCTCCATGCAGGGGAGAGGCGGCTCACCAGCAGTGGGGGTGGTGAGGGCCCTGGGGCAAAGGGCACACGGCCCCACATCTTGATCACCTCGCCTAGAGGCTGGAAGCCCTCATCACAGCCCCGCTTCACCAGCAGTGACATGGAGAAGTAGCCAGCCTGGAACCACTCTGCCATCTCCTGTGTCGTGAAGGGGCCTGGACAGGGAGCAAGGGAGCAGGAGAACCACTGTGGTCACAGGGTAGGCCAGAGACACCCTGAACCAGAATGGCCCTGAGCAGCCCTCCCATCCCACACAAGTACCTTGGATCTCGCCCTGCGGATCCTTGTAGAACCACTTCCGGGCAGCTCCATGGCTGAGCGGGAGGGCAGTGGCGGCTGCAGAATGGCGTAGGCCCTGGGTCTGCATGGCAGCTGTGAACTGCTCCTCCTCCAAGGAGCTGTCCTGCAGGGAGGCCACCAGCTTCTCCGCCTCCTGGAAGCCCAGGAAGAGAAGAAAGTCTCAGCTGCCAATCTCAGCACCATCAGGATGGGGATGGAGCTTGGGATGGGGATGGAGCTTGAGCTGGGGCCGGGGGCAAGCAGGTCAGGTGGTCAGGAGAAGTGTGAAGGGTCCCTCCCACTTTCTCAGGCCCCCACACCTGCTGCAGGTGCTTTAAGCCTTCATCATCCTCCAGATCTCCAGGTGGGCCAGCAGGGGAGCCCACCCCAGGACTCAGCTGGATCCCCCGAATATCATCTGGAAGGCATGAGGACAGGAGGTGGAAGGGAGGGCGGCAAGGAGACAAGATAGCCTCCGCCCACCCTCACTCCAGAACACTGAGCTCTTGCCATGGCTCCTCAATGTGAATGCCCTGTGTGCCCACCCCCACAAGAGGGGACCACTTCCTCTCACAGCCCCAGGGCACCCGGGAGGTAGGTCATCCTTCCTTCCTACCTTCGGCCACTGGGGGCTCTTTCTCCGCAGCTTCGTCCCCATCCCCGTTTGTCCCCCAGAGTGGGCCCAGGGTGGGTAGTGGGGACGGGGAGCTGGACTTCTCCTCCTGAGGAGGCAGTGGGGTCAGCTCCTTCCCACCTAGAAGAGGAAGATGGCCAGAGTTCAGAACCAAGGGCTGGGCCTGCCACGCGAGTGAGCACAAGGCCTTGAGTGTGTGGCTGGACCCGCGGGTCACCCTCCCCCGGGCCAAGTCCACCACTTCACTTGGGTCAACTCAACTAATGGTGGAGCGGGAATGCGGTGCCCTGACCCTTGCCTCCATGTGCCAGACGCAGCAGGAACGTATCAACACTGCACAACACCATACAACCCCGCAGACTTCACCCCAGGTTCTGCAGTTTCTTCAAGGGACTTTCAAAGGTCATTCTGATTATGCCTGATTTCTATCTGGTACACTGCCTTGAAGACATGGCTACTAACCCCTGGTTCCTCCCCACCTCTCAACACTCTTCTTCCACTTCTAAGTAGCCTGATCCTACAGGTAGGTGGGCAGCAAGTGGCCAGCCTGGCAAAGAACCCCCATGCCAGTCTGGCCTGGCCCCAGGCCCGCTGGGCACCCCACAGGCTCACCCGCCTCAGGCCCTTCCTCCTCTAGCCCTTCGGAAGGCTCCTCCTCCTCCTCCAGCCCTTGGAAGTCCAGCTCCTGCTCCTCAGGAATGGGCTCCTTGGGGCCCTTCTGCATGGGGCAGGGGTGGGGGGCAGAGAACAGCTGGGTGGGTGAGGAGGAAGAGGACCCCAGCAGGGCAGGTTCCCACCCTCGCCTCCTCGCAGATACCTTGAGAGGCAAGAAGGCCCCAGAGGCATCAAAGGTGCCCATTTCTTCATCCTCATCGTCCAGGCACCACTCTGGGAGCCCATCCTTGTCCTCCTCAAAGCCGTCAGGCACTCGGCACCGCCGCAGGTGAGAGCTGCCTCCCCCTCCCCGCCCCTCCTCTTCACCACACCCGCCTCGATCCCCTCGCAAATCAAATTCAAACTTGCGCCTCCGTTCCCCATGTTCCCGCCAGCCAGCAGAGCGGGGACCGCCATCTGCGCAGGAAAAGTCAGGGAGAAGAAGAGTGGGTACCCAAGCGAAGCTGGCGGCCCTCTCTGCTGCAGCTCATGGAGCACCTCCAGGGCTGCTGTCCCAGCCACTCCCACACCAGCCAGCCTCTGCTACCTCCCAGGGGCTACAGGAGCCCACCCTCTCATGACAGTTCCTGCTCCCCACTGCCCCCACCAATGCTACTGGGCCCCAATCTCACCAGGGCTGGCGGAGCGCCAGCGGTCGCCATCTCGCCGGGGCCCTGCCCCAAGCCTCCAGCTGCCCTCCTCCTCCTCCTCCTGCTCCTCCCGTAAGGAGCGCCAGTTCTCGCTGTCTGAGCGGGCATGCTCCTTCCTTGGGCCAGCCCCTCCCTCCTCAAACCCACATCGTGCTGGGAGATGGAAGAGAGGGGCAGTTATCAGAAAGGCAGCGTGGTACCTGGACCCTCAGGAAACGTGGGGGGCCAGCTCCAGGCCCTCCTGCCCCCAGCACCTCTGAAATAAACACCCTCAGACTGGGCCACCCATCTTGATCCTCCCCACTGCCCCGGCCGCTGCCCTCAGCAACCTCGTACCTCCATCCCGCCTTGCTAACTTCTCAAACCGCCTGTCGCCTCTGCAGGAGGGGAAACGTGTGGGTCAAAAACAGTACAGCCTCCCCACCCACCCTTTGCGACTGCCCCATGCCTTGTCCACTGTGCCCTGAGGCAGTGGAGGGAGGGAGGGGACAGAGGAAACCAGGGGTCAGGAGAACAGGGATCTCTGACAGGGCTTATCTGGTAGGCCTCTGTTACCCTCTAGCAACAGGAACCAGGCCTCCCTCCCTGGCCTGCCCTGCTCTATGCCACACCCCCTCCTGGCCCCACCTGTCATCCCAGCTCTGGCTGCGCTGGATCTCCCGGGGGCTTCGTCCAAAGGCCCCATCACCTTCTTCGATGCTTCTTTGGTAAAAGCAGCTGTCACCGCGGCCACGGCCTAGATAAGAGGCCAGATGCACACTGAAACCTGCTGCACGTCCTCGAAGTCAGGGGCCCTGATCTGCCCGCCCCCGGGACACGCCATCACCCCTCTACCTCGGCTCCGCGTGCTGCCCCTGCCTCGGGAGGTGCCAGTCAGGGGGGGGCCAGCCCCTTTCCCCATCAGCCTCAGCACAGCCACGCTGTTCACTGACAGGGAGAAGTTTCTCTGAGGAGGGAGCCAGGGGCGGGAGTGAGGACCCAGGTACCTGACCACCCCCACTCCCACCCCACAGCACCCTCCCGGCCTGTCTCCCCAGCACTGGCCCCTCTCCTCCTAGCCCGACTCACGGCCACCCCTCCCGGGCCCCCGCAGCCTCAGCTCCTGGCCTGGCCCCACCTGTTCCTCCTCAGTCAGCGGCTCCAGGGCCAGGGGCTGCAGTGGCTCGTCCTGCAGCACCGCGGCAAACTCCTTGTCCTGCAGCTCTTCTGGGACCTGGCGGTGGGGTGGGACAGCCAAGACATCACATGCTGCCAGATCCCCTCCATGGGCAGAGACCACTGCCGCCAACAACCCTCGCCCACGCACCCACCTTGTTCTCCTTGACGTAGAGGGCCAGCATCTCCTCTCGCCCATAGCGGTAATCAGCCAGCTTGTATTTGGGCATGGCAGGGGATGGAGGTGGGGAGGCCACGCTGCCGCCCCCAGACAGGGCCCTGAGCCTGGACACGACACAGAGAGAAGACGACAGGTCAGGGCAGCCTGACTGTGCTTTCCCAAATCTCCACGGCAGCCGAGGCACATGTGACTCACCACTCAGGCCCAAAGTTGAGTGTCTCTGCTGCCATCGTGGGGCTGGGCGTGTTTCTGAGAGGCCGGGGGTGGGGAGGAGGGGACCTGGTGTTCACTCTCCAAACACCTGTGGGGGAACGGGGCCATGGAGAACAGCACACGAAGGAGACCTTTCAAGTGCAGGGAGGACACCCCGGGGTACATCCTGGTTGGCATGGCAATGCGCCCTGGACTAGCTGGTGGGTCACCTGGGGTCTAAAAGGACTCACCTGAGCCAGCCACGTGGCCACTCACACCATGAGTTACCCAGAGATGAGTCCAGACGGTGAAAGACCTGGGGGAGGCGAGGAGATGGGAAGCTCGAGTCCTTCCGGCCTCCGTGGGACAACCTCCCTCGGCCCAGGGCTCACCTGGCAGCCTGGCCCAGAAAGCAGGAGGGCAGGGGCTGGTGCTGGAGTGAACGAGGGTCCCCAAGCCACTGGGAATTGGTCTGGCCTCAGTAGAGCCTGGGAGCGACCTTCACATCTGGGAAAGACCCTTAAGGAGAGCAGGGGGGAGGAGATAGGGTTCAGGACAAGGCTCTGCTGGCAGCCCTGCCCTGCCCTGCATGACGGGAGAAGTCCATTCGCCGGGTGGTATCTCTGGGCATCAGCACCCTCACCACCCTCTCTGGGAGGCTGAGACAGGAGGTGCAGCGCAGAACTCAAGGAGGGAGGCAGCCGAGGCCAGGATGGATGTTCAGGGCAAAGATAAAACAAAAACAAGCAAGCAAGCAAAAACTCACTAGAGCCACAAATAGCCTACAGAGAAAAGGTCAGTTACGGAGAGAAGGATTAGAAATAAATCTAGGAGCAAAATTCTTTCCTTTATGAAAAAAATCACAGTTGGCTGCTCAGAAGCTCAAATCCAGGGGCTTGGTCTGGGGAGAAACCCAGTGAAAAGGAGCAACAGGTGATTCTAGGGGCCACAGACGGGTACATGACGAGGCTCCAGGCAAGCCTGAGCCAAGGCACCTCGGGCTGGTTTCCCCCACAGGAATCACACCCAGACCACCGCCCCCCAATCAAGAACGGAGGCTGAAACAACCAAGCCACCAAGGGAACGAGGATCTCAGGATACCGGCTGGGAAGCAGCCTCTGGCACCATCAGGTGGAAATAAGGTCAGGGCAATGGAGGCTGGTGGGGGTGCAGCGGCAGCCTGTTCCTCTAAGGGACGATGGAGGGGACTCTCAGGAGGAGGCGCATCCCTGGGAACCCGGGCAGAGGACTCAGGCGGGTGGGCGGGGTCCAGGCGCTGCAGAGCTGTTGTCACTGGCTGGGAGGGAGGCTGGCCGGGCTTGGTGCTGCAGCTCCCATCAACTCCAGGACGCCACAGTCTGGGAAAGAAGAGGAAGGGGGTTCCACCAGGGTGCTAAGGGGGAAAGGCCATCAGCCCCAGCTCAGCCAGCAGCCCATGACATGCCGAGGCCTGCTCAGAGTCCCAGCACCCCAGGGGGAACCACAGGGCTCAGAGGCAACCCAGGGCCAGGGTGGCCTCCCCTGGGGCCTCTCCCTCCTCAGCCTCGGCTGGATGCTCCGGTGGTGGTGTGCTCCACGCCACGCAAAGCCACCAGCCTGTCACTGACTGCAGGTGGCCTCCTAGAGCAATCTGGGGACTGGATGAGACTTGAGGACATGATGCTAAGTGAAACAGACCAGCCAGAAAAGGAGAGTTAGACCTTACTTCTCTTTCATGAGGTCTCTAGAGGAGGCACTGAGGGAGGAAGGTAGAAGGGCAGTCACCAGGGGCTGAGGGGACAGGGAACTGTTGCTGAAGGGCCCAGAGCTTCAACTGAGGAACAGATCCTGGGGCCGCTGGTAGTCAAGGCCAGACACCAATGTGAGTGTACTCAGTACCACAGAACAGCACAGTTAGAGACAGTTAAAGTATCCAAACTTTGTTGTATATTTTACCACAATAATCACTTTTTAAAAAAAACTTTAGGGAACAAAAGGTATCTGGAGATAACCACCGCATACCTAAGTTTTCCCCACTCCAAGAAAAACACCCCACATTCCTTCAAATCAGCCTCAGGAGAGGCTGTTTTGAGCCTCCTCTAGTTCATTCCCTCTAGAAGGCCAGAAGCTCATCCTGCAGGCATGAGGGTGGGAGAGGGTAGAACAGAAAAGGGACCACCTGGCCAGCACAATGGCTTATACCTATAATCCCAGCACTGTGGGAGGCTTGGAGAGAGAAGTCCGAGACCAGCCTGAGTAACAGAACAAGACCATGACTCTACAGAAACAATTCTAAACATTTTTTTAAAAAGAAAAAGCGGCCAGGCGTGGTGGCTCATGCCTGTAAACCCAGCACTTTGGGAGACCGAGGCAGGAAGATCACCTGAGGTCAGGAGTTTGAGACCAGCCTGGCCAACGTCGCAAAACCGTCTCTACTAAAAATACAAAAATTAGCCGGGCCTGGTGGTAGGTGCCTGTAATCCCAGCTACTTGGGCGGCTGAGGCAGGAGAATCGCTTGAATCCAGGAGGCGGAGGTTGCAGTGAGCCGAGATCGCGCCCCTACACTCCAGCCTGGGCAACAGAGCAAGACTGTCTCAAAAAACAAAACAAAAAAAATCTTAAAGTGATGGCCTCACACTGCCCCCTGCCAGGCGCAGCAAGGGCAGCTCTCCTGGGTGCCTCCGGCTGGAGTCCCCCATCCTGACTGTGTCTTGGCTGCAAGGGGCACACAAAGGGGGAGTGGCTCATGCAGCCTGAGGACAGCGACACCAAGACAGGGGAGAGAGCAGGCCCAGAGCAGGAAAAAGCCCATGCCACCTGCCTTCTTGGGAAGAAACCAGGAGACTGAGGTTAACTCTCTAGGTGCCCCCACAGCAGGGTCTGGTGCTGGAAGCTGGTAGTGCCTGGCCCCATCCTTGGACTAAAGGAACTAGTGGCGCAGCTGCAGGCTACCATGGGGCTCCCACCCTCCAACAGGTTCTGGACTCAGGGCCCCTCTGCTCCTCAGGGGGCTCCTGGCCAAGTCTGGAGATATTCTGGGCTGTCACCACTGGGCAGGGGGTGCACAGGGCATCCCCACAGCCAAGAGCTATGTGACTCCAGATTCCAAGCACGCCAGTGCTGAGATGCCCTCCTCTGCGCCACGAGCACGGGCAGAGCCCTCGGGGGTCTACTGGGCCAAGGGGAAGGCAAGGGAAGCCAGGTGTGTGCAAAGCTGGGTCACTCTCCTCTCTGAACAGCAGGGATATCATTCCCTAATTACACTGTCCCACAAGGGAAATCTGAAATCCTGCCAGGAGGAAATCTTTGAGAAAAGAACAGATTTTTTTTTTTTTTTTTTAAGAAAAACTGCCTAAGTTTGTCTATTGCAAGCTCTCAAAGCCAGGCCTCTGATTCCTGTCCAATGAAGACAAGAGCAGGAGGTGGCGGGGGGAGGGGGGGGGGATGGGGGACCGCCACCTGCCCGCCTCAGCTTTTCCGGCTGAGCTTTCTCAGCTCAGGGTCTCCTCCTCACAGGCCCCTTCCAGCCTGTCCCCCGCCCTGGCCCTTCCCTCAAGCCTCGCCCCCTCCCCACCCCTTCTCTTTCTCAGGCCTGTCTACCCTCAGTCCCCCAGCATCTGAATCAATGCTTTTGAAAGACTGCCCCCTGCCGGAGACAAGGGGCGAGGACATGCTGGGCCTGGGTGCTCCAGCAGGCGCCAGGGCGCGGGAAGGGAGCCCGCTCTCTGGGGCTCAGAACTCAAGGGAGAAGGAAAAGACGGAGAACAGGCGGTTCCAGTGCACATTCAGCTAAGAACATTATCTCCTCACTCCATCACCCCTAAAATTAGCTCCAACACGGAGCACTGTGCCTTGGCACAGAACAGTGCCACTTAAACAGAAGGAGTCCCCAGTTCCCCAACACTGGAGCGACCGCCCAGCCCCAGGCCTGCTGGAGGGGACCTGGGCCTTTCTCAGGATGGAGATTCTCCAAGCGTGGTAGGATGAAGACGCTGAGGCTTAAAGAAGAGACGCAAGCCCGCATTCCTCGCGGCTGGTCAGTTATCCCTGCTCTCTCCTCTCTGAGCCATCCCAACAAAGCACACCACCGCTTGGCAACTGCCTACAAGTTAACAGTTTTTAAGCATTTTCACTCTTTACCTCCTGTGATCCCTTTTGCCCACTTGCCCAGCCTTGGGCTCCAGCCAGGGAAAACAAGGAGGAAGCTGCTCCGACAGTGTGCCTCGACATCCTCGACACTCTATGCAATACTGGAGGTGTGCACGGTGGCAGTAATGACCATCCCAAACTCTCAAGCGTTACTCTGTGAGTTTGAAGCCATTTCACATTTGTTAGACTTTCAACCTCCTTCATCTAGCCGCCTCCTCTCATCTTCTCTCCTCTATAGTGGGCTATTTCTCTTTTTTAATTCCCAAATTCTAATAGCACATGTAAAAGTTAGGGCTAACGCATCAGATCACGGACACAAGACTGATGTGTCCAACAGGAGAACAAGCTAGTTCAGAAGTTTAAGCACATAGTCCACTTGACTAACCACCACATGGGACCCTCAGGGCCCCTGGTTCCCAGGCAATGGCAGGGACACCAAGTCCAGGTCTACCCCCAAATCCTTCCCAATGACAGGACAGACCGCTGGGGTACCAAGACCTACAATCTAAGAAAATCAGATTAGAGCTGGCTAGCCTGGTGGAGGGTGGCTAGCCTAAGTCTGCAAAGGGCACAGGAAAGATGGGAAGGAGAAAGAACCCCAAATCCCCCATGTCGACAGCAAAGAAGAGATCCTTACTGGTACCACCGATGGTGTTTCCATGCCAAAGGCCAGGGGTTGGCGGGGTTCTAAATAGAAACTGCTATATGGACTCGAAGGGGCAGTGCAAAGAGGATGGGAAAGCTGACGATCTTCCAGAACAACACTTTGAAAGGCAAGAGGGAAGTAAGGCTTGGGTGATTGGAAAAAAAAAAAAAATTCAATCCAACTAACAAGTCTTTATGTAGCATCTCCCAGTTCCTGGCACTAGGATACAACAGACCTAGAGTCTCACCGGGAAAGCGAGTAATGACTGTGTAACAAGAGGAGACAAACAAGGGGCTCTTAAAAAGTTACTTGGAAAAATTTTTTTTTTAAGGCAAGGTGTGAGAGCTGTGGCCAGAGAGCTGCTGCACCGAGGGGCATGAGCTGGGAAGGGCCTGGCCTGGGACGGGGAGGGAAAGCAGCCTCTACTATGGAAGGTGTTTCCCGCGGTTGTGCAACTGGGAAGGAGACCCCAATGACCCAGCACTAAGATCGCCGGAGCGAAAGGAAACGGAGGTGAGGAGGACTCAGGCGAGGTGCCTGGGTGGAGGAGAAGGCTTCCATGTTGGCCAAAGTCGTGGAAAGCTTGGACTTGGGGAACCGCAAGGCCCAGCTCCTTCCGAGGGGAACCCAAAGGCGCGCTGGGGAGAACTCCGGGGAGCGCGGGGCCCGGACACCTTAGGACGCTAGGGTCGGGGGCCCCCAGGCGGCCCACAGCAGGGCTTGGCAGAGGCCCGGGGGCGACCGTTAGGAGCGCGGGGGTGGAAGGCGGCGGGCCGGCCCGGGAGGACGGCGTGCCCTTCAGGGAGGGGCGCCAGGTGCGCGGGGGTCGAGCGGTCGCCCCCCAAGCCGGGCGCCGGCCTCCTGGGGCCTTCCCGAGGCTGGCCGGCTCTGGGGGAGGGTCCCGGCGGCGGGGAGGGGCCGGAGCGGGCGGGAGGGCGGGCGGACGCACCGGGCGGCGGCGGCGGCGGGGGCCTCGGGGAGGAGACGGGGGAGGGTCCTCGTCGGCGGCCCGCGCGCTGGCTCCAGCGCTTCGCTAGCTCGCGGGCTCGGCGCGGCCGCCGCGGCGTCGGGGGCGGGCCTGCCCCGGGGCCGGGCTGTGAGCTGGGGGCGGCGGGAACGCCGGGCGCTTACCGCGGACGGCGCAAGGGTCCGGTCCGGGGCGTGGGCGGCGCGCGGCGGGCTGGGGCCGGGGACGGCGGCGGCGACGGGGGAGGGGACGCTGGCGCTCCCGCGGCGGCCGCTCCTCTGTGTTTGTGTTTGTAGCAAGATGGCTGCCCGCCTCGCACCACGTGACGCGGACGCGGGGCCGCGGGGCCGCCCCCTCCTCCGCCGCCGCCGCCGCCGCCGCCGCCGCCTCCCTCCGCGGCTCCGGCCTGCGCCGCCTCTCCTCGTGCGCTCCTCGCGTGCCCCGCGCGCCGCTGTCCGGACGCCAGTCGCCCCCGACAGCCCCCACCTTCCCGCCCCGGCACGTGACCCGGGCGCCCGGCTGGTCACGTGACGTGGGCCCCCAACTGCGGGCGGGGTCGGCCCCGGAGCGGCCCCTTCTCCCCCACCTCCTCCGACCCTGCGACGCGCGACCCTTGGAACCGAGGCTGCGGCCTCCCTGGCGGTCCAGTTTCCTCCAGGAAGCCCGCCTGGATGACAGGAGACAATAAAATCCAGAACCCTTCATCAGGCGTCCTGGGATGTGTGAAATAAGTGGCTCAGGCAGATGAGTTGACTCTCAAGAGCCTCTTTTATTTTTTTTTCTTATTATTTATTTAATTATTGAGACAGCGTGTGGCTCTGTCGCCCAGGTTGGAGTGCAGTGGCGCGATCTCAGCTCACTGCAACCTCCACCTCCCGGGTTCAAGTGATTCTCGTGCCTCGGCCTCCCGAGTAGCTAGGATTACAGGCACACACCACCAAGTTCGGCTAAATTTTTGTATTTTTAGTAGTGAAGGGGTTCGCCATGTTGGCCAGGCTGGTCTAGAACTTCTGACCTCAAGTGATCTGCCTGCCTCGCCCTCCCAAAGTGCTGGGATTACAGGCGTGAGCCACCGCGCCCTGCCTCTATATATTTATTTTTTTGAAGCAGGGTCTCACTCTGTCATCCAGGCTGCAGTGCACTAACCCGATCTCGGCTTACCGCAGCCTCCAACTGCCGTGTCTCAAGCGATCCTCACATCTCAGCCTCCCGAATTGATGGGACTATAGGTGTGCATCATTGTGCCCAGATAACTTTTTTATTCTCTGTAAAGATGGGGGCAGGTGGCGTGTCTCACAACATTGCCCAGGCTGGTCTTGAACTCCTGGCCTCAAGGGATCCTCCTGCCACAGGCTCTTGAATAGCTAGGACTACATCCGTGTGCCACCACACCCAACTAATTTTTAAAGTTTCTTGTTTGTGTGTTTTCCAAGACAGAGTCTTGCTGTCGCCCAGGCTGGAGTGCAGTGTCGCGATCACAGTTCACTGCATCGTCTTGCCTCCTGGGCTCAAGCAATCCTCCTGCCTCAAGTGCCCTGAGTAGCCAGGACTACCAGGGCATACCACCACACCCAGCTAATTTTTTTTTTTTTTTTTTTGTAGAGACAGGTTTCCCCCATTTTGCCCAGGCTGGTCTTGAACTCCTGGACCCAAACGATCTTCCTCCCAAAGTCCTGGGATTACAGGCATGAGCCACCATGCCTGGCCTCTCAAAAGTCTCTGTTTCTCTTACAGAAGGATGTTAACACTGCTCTGCGCCCCACCCCCGACCCCCAACTCCACACTCTTCAGTGAGTGCTCTAAGAATTAAAATAAGTGAATGTGAAAGGCTTTGACAAGAGAGAAACTGCTATGCAAATGTGAGGTGACTGAAACCCCCTTTGTTTAAAAAGAGGACTTTTCAAGAACGACTGGCTGAACTTTTTCAGAGCTGGAAAGTTCCGCGTATGCTTTCACCTTTTTCATTGGAAGTTACTCCAGAATGTATACCTTACTGCTGTCGCCCAACACAATGTAATCCTCAAAACAAGGAAAAGGTAAGTTCATGACCTGGAATTTGAGTGCCTGGTGTCTTGCCATGATAGAGTGTTGACTTCAGGAACTATTATACCTGGAACAACTTTTGTTTCCCCCACCAAGTACCACTAGGCTTCTCTGCACTTGGAGTTTTCCTGTTTTCCTTTTTTAACTGTTTTATTTATTTAAGAGACAGGGTCTTGCTCTGCTCCCCAGCCTGGAGTGCAGTGGCACAGTCATGGCTCACTGTGGCATCAACCTCCTAGGCTCAAGTGATCCTCCCTCCTCAGCCTCCCGAGTAGCTGGGACTGCAGGGAGTGGCACACCACTATGCCCAGGTATTTATTTATTTATTTTGAGAAAGAGTCTCACTCTGTTGCCCGGGCTGGAGTGCAGTGGCGTGATCTCAGCTCACTGCAACCTCCGACCCCAGGTTCAAGCCATTCTCGTGCCTCAGCCTCCCAAGTAGCTGGGATTACAGGTGTGTGCTACCATGCCTGGGTAATTTTTGTATATTTAGTAGAGGGGGTTTCATCATGTTGGCCAGGTTGGTCTCAAACTCCTGAACTCAAGTGATCCACCTGCCTCAGCCTCCAAAAGTGCTGGGATTACATGTATGAGCACTGCACCTGGTCTGGCTATTATTTTTCACTTTCAAATTTTTGTACAGACTGAAGTATCACGATGTTGCCCAGGCTCTTCTTGAACTCCTGGGCTCAAGGAGTCCTTCCATCTCGGCCTCCCAAAGTGTTGGGATTATAGGCGTGAGCCACTGTGCCTGTCCTGCTGTCTGTTTTTATATTTTATTTAATTTTTAAATTTTTTTCAAGACAGAGTTTCGCTCTGTCGCCCAGGCTGGAGTACAGTGGCGTGATCTCAGCTCAGTGCAACGTCCATCTCCTGGGTTCAAATGATCCTTCCAACTCAGTCTCCTGAGTAGCTGAGACTACAGGTGGGCGCCACCATGCCCAGCTAATTTTTGTATTTTTAGTAGAGACAGAGTTTCACCATTTTGGCTGCCTCGGCCTCCCCAAGTGCTGGGATTACAGGCGTGAGCTGCCACACCCGGCTAATTTTTGTATTTTTAGTAGAGATGGGGTTTCACCATTTTGGCCAGGCTGGTCTTGAATTCCTGGCCTCAAGTGATCCTCCCACCTCAGCCTCCCAAAGTGTTGGGATTATAGGCATGAGCCACCGTGCCCTGCCACCTAGCTTCCTTTCTCAAAGAGGGAGTTCATAGGCTTTAATTTCTGGTGACGTCAGCATCAGTATTCACACTTTACAGTCGGTGGAGATTACTTGTCCAAAGTCACAAACTGGTGTCCAGGAGATCCAGGGAGACCCCTCTAGTCTTCTACCCTGGTTGTATTACTCAGTTCTCATGCTGCTAATAAACCTTGTCCTTCCTTGAGCCCAGAAAGACAAGGTTGTGCACTCCAGCCTGGGCAACAAAGTGAGTCCTTGACTCAAAAAGGGAGAAAAGTGAAAAAATAAAGAGGCGGGCCAAGGTGGGTGGATCACGAGGTCAGAAGATTAAGACCACCCTGACCAACATGATGAAACCCCATCTCTACTAAAAATACAAAATTAGCCAGGCGTGGTGGCTCATACCTGTAATCCCAGCTACGAGGGAGGCTGAGGCAGGAGAATCGCTTGAACCTGGGAGGCTGAGGTTGTGGTGAGCACAGATTGGGCCATTGCAGTCTGGGCAACAAGAGCGAAACTCCGTCTCAAAAAAAAAAAAAAAAAAAGAAATCACTTGGACCTAATGTGTTTTTGTTTGTTCAGGTGCTGCTCTGTAAGATGTCTTGGTCTGTGTTCTAAACTTGCAAACTTTTTAACTAAACAAAGAGATTTGATTAGAAGGTTAATGGAGATGAAAGAGTGGTCTCATCTCCAAGCAAAACCAAACAGCCCAGCCCTCCATACCTTATTTTTTTTTTTTTTTTGGAGCAGCAGAGCCTTGCTCCGGTCTCAGGCGACGACAACCTTCCGCCCCTCCGGTTCAAGCTCTTGTAAATCTTTAAAGAAAGCCGATGACCTGCCATGTGTCAGGCCTGATCTCAAACTCCTGACCCCTCCAGGTTGATCCGCCCTCTTGGCCTCCAAAGGATGAGATTAACCAGCATGAGCGGCCATGTCGAACT